TCAACATGATGGCCTTAGGTTCAGAACTGGCTGATAATCGATTGTCTATTGTTGATAATCGATTATCATGCTGTGCAGCTTCTGTCCCCAAAGTCCTGCAGACTGTGATAGTCGATTGTCACCTTATGAAAATCGATTGTCAAGTTGGTTTGTTCGGGAAGTCCTAAGTTCAGAGAGCCCTGATAATCGATTATCAGTGAAGCCAACTCAGACCCAAGAATCCGCAGGGCCTGATAGTCGATTATCACATATGTGATAATCGATTATCACGCTGTGCTGAATCAATTGAGGAGTCCAGCGTGGCCTGATAGTCGATTGTACTATCCTGTAACTCGATTATCAAGGCACGCTGATTTCCATTTTATCTGTTTGTTTGTCATCAAAATGTTGGAAATTTTAGAAACGAATGTTTACATTTCCATGCTAGATAATCGAATAACTTACGAGGTTTCAAACATTTATAATAACGAGTACATAACTTGATAACACGGACACACGTATGTTTGATGGTTAACCTACGAACATGCATAGATTCTACGTAGGTTGCGCACGACATTCCTATGAATATAACGACATAGATTATGACTTGATGTTCTAGAATTAGAGGGACAACTACTCACCTCTAATGAAGGGATTGACGGAACGATGGAACAAGATGAACGAACGGTTGTCAACGTTGAACGACGAATGAATGAATGAACGACTCCTCGCGTAGCTGCCGCTGTGATTGGCCGAACACCATTAGAGAGAGAGAGTTGTGATGTTGAATGGGAGTTACAAGTTGGTGAAGAAGTTGAAGGGAGGAGGGAGCTTTATAATCATGTGAATTTATGGGGATTTATGGAGGTATAATGAAGGAATAATGATGGGGGTTATGGAAATGAAGGGTGTGTGGCGTGTGGTTCTTGATTTGGGGAGTTACCTCCCTAAATTCCATTCTGTTGTGTAAAATTCTGACCTGAACGGTACACGTTTTTTCCCCCAAACGAGTCCGAATTGAGATCCGATTGCGCTTTTGGAACCAGACAGTCAAAACGAATTTAATGACATGTTCAGACAATTTTTCTAAGAACTTTATTTTCAAACTTATGGGTCCACCCCAATCATGAATTAATTTATTTAATTAATGTTGAGAGGTCCGTTTTCAAAACATCTTTTTATATTTAACACACATTAACTTTTGAAAGCCATTTGTAGAGATCAAAATCTCAATACTTATTAATTTAAAATAATGAGTCTCAATAAATAAATAATATTTATTTATTTAAAACTAGGCCGGTTTGTAGGGCGTTACACTAGCGGTCACCTTTCCAACCAAGGATGTCATGCCTTATAACTCTTATGCTCATCTTGGTAGTGTAGTGCAACGAACCATGGGGGTGGGCAGGTTTGTTTAGCCATGGGGGTTTGGGCAAAGAGATCATGTGGGAGGTCAGCTGGGTCGTGGGTGAGGAGGGATGGGTGAAGGTTTGGGTTGGGTTAGTGGATACCAATGATGGGGTTAGGGTGTCGTTCTCCACGGTGTCTGGAAAATGAAGCTTAGTGGGGGGGTTTGTAGAGAGGAGTAGGGGAAGGTAGACTCACCAAAGAATGAGAAGAGATGATAATTTTGTGATTCTAAAAGTCGAGACATTGATAGCCTTGAATTAATTCAGGGGATAACCAAGTAAGATGCATCGACCAGAATATGTGGCAAGTTTGTTAGGGGTTGTACCATATATATTCGGGTAGTAAAGACAACCAAAAACACAGAGGTGATCAAATCAAGGTGGTTTATCGTAATGTAGTTCATGAGGAGTGTGATTATGGAGAGTTGTGGTGGGAAAAATATTAAATAAGTGTATTGCCATATTTAGGACCTCAATCAAAAAGTGAGGTGGTAGGATGGCTTGAAAAAGTAGAGATCAAATGGTGTTATTTATGGTAAGGGTAGTATGTTGCGCTT